AATTAAAACAAAAAGGACTAAAAAAAAGAATTAAAAAAAAAAAAACGCCAAACTCCTCAGGCGCGTCACGATTCGAACGCCCGTTCTAGGGCATCGCCACACCACTCTCGAAATGTGAAAACGGCAAAAATGTGGCGGGTGCATCTGGCCATGTTGTAGCGGGACTTTCATTCTCATTTTGCACATTTTCAAGAGTGGTGTGGCGATGCCCCTATTTTCCCAAAGCGACCACAAAGGAAAAAAAAAGCAAAACCAAAACAAAACAGGACTCGCCCGAGAGAAAACGGGCCTCGATGCACTACACTCGACATGCACAAAAGACAAAAATATTGGCCGTGTATCTTTCCATATTCTAGCGTAAGATTCAATCTCGTTTTGCACATTTCGAGAGTAGTGCAGCGAGGCCCAAACAAACAGAAAACGCGCCTGACGCGGCGCGCCTAACGCGTCTGACGCGTTTGGCGTTTGTTTTTTTCTCGGCAGTTCGGTTTCGTTTCGTTTCGTTTTTGCGTTCTCTTTTACGCAACGGGCCTCACTGCACTTCTCTTGAAATACGGACAGATACACTGTCCGTATTCTGTACTCTCGACATCCACAAAACACAAAAATCATGGCCGTGTATCTGTCCGTATTTCAAGAGAAGTGCGGCGAGGCCCGTAGCATAAAAGAGAACGCAAAAACGAAACGAAACCGGACTCCCCAGAAAAAAACAAACGCCAAACGCGTCAGATGCGTCAGGCACGCCGTGTCAGGTGCGTCAGAATTTTACATCGGACGTCTCACGATTCGCATCGCGCGTCAGAATATTTTACATCGGACGTCTCCCGCTAAAAACACTAACGTGGACCATCGCAGAAGTGAGACTCGCAAAACCACTAACGTGGACCATCCCAGACGCGAGAGTCGCGTCCGCGGCCGAAAAGTTTTATGGGAGTTGTTAGAAAGCAGGGCCACTGCAAGATGTCTGGCTGTGCTGAATGCTGTCCCCTGATTTTTCAACAATAGGCTGTGTTGAAATGTCGAGACGTGCTGAAAGGTCAGGGGGGGTGGGAGTCACCAGGGCCAAAAACGCAACTGCTTCTTCTTTGATGTGCGACAGACCTCCTCCCTGCAAAGGGGCCACCTCAATATTGAAATTTTGCAGGTGACATCTCAGCCATGTGCTGGATGGGAAGGATTCCAGGTCCTGTCTGATATCCACATGACTTATGCAACATGGTAATGCGGAGACTCTCGGTCTCAATTGGAACTTGAGATAATGCGGCTAGCGATTCTATTGTATGTAGAGCACAGCATACTGCTTGCACTCCCACCCTGCGCCACTCATAATCCAGGAACGCCCTCCCCATGCCCGTTCCTGGGTACAGCAGCTCCTACACTTTGCCAACTGATATTCGTAATGTGGTTCCTGGGGTTTTTCTCATGATCAGCCCAGGGTACAAAAGTCAACTGACCAGATTACCAAAGCGTTCCTATCTGTTAGCAACCACAGAGTGAATGTGCCCCGCAGGATGGGCCAGAACTGTCAGCTGTAAATGTTGGACACTCCTGGGTTTGCAACCATGGGTGGTACTCGATTCTCTCCTTTTCTCCGGTTTGATTATGATATTGTCCATCTGCATGGGGTTCATTCCTGGTTGCCGCTAGACAAGCTGAAAGCTTACTCCCACAGCTGGGCTTGTTCCCAACATTGCCACTCAGGGAAAGGGGTGTCTTACAAACAGTCCACAAAAACTGTACTCTCAGGAAGCAGTTGATCATCCGAAGAAAGGGAGGCAGAAAGGGAGGAGGGAAGGAGGGAAGGAGGGAAGGAGGGAAGGAAGGAAACAATCATCCTTGTGGGTAAGTGCAGATTTGTTTCTCGATCAGCCATTCAGAGATGAACAAGTGCTCTTGCCTGGCAGGCTAGTCGGCCCTAGACCTGCATTATGTCGATTTGGGAGTTGAACATTGGATCACTTCACCTGTGTCTCTGGATTCGACCCAACCATCAAGGTTGTGTGAAAAATCTTTATCCATGCTTGAAAACGCGAAGGTAGCCCTGGTGTTATGGTCAATGAAGTCTGCATTCAAGGGAAGAAAACAATGCATAGTTTTGTCAGGTATCTCTTTCTATTGCTTTTGTTTGTATTTCAATTTTCAACTGAAAGGACAAACTTAGGAATTTTTTTTCCTTTTCAAAAACGGCAACGGCCTTCAGATATCATCATTGAACTGACCGGCCTCAGGTGATTCAGACTTAGTGTGTTCTGTCATCTGACTGTATCTGGATTCAAAATTGGGTCTGTATTTCAACATTTTGTGGATGTACCGACTTAGCTAGGCTCATTGGTAAACTTTGGGTAGAGCCAGGTGGGCGAGTAGCCACCGGGAGCTTCTTAGTTTGATTGGGTTATTGGCTACGTGTAGGATTCTGGTCCAAGAAATACTCGGAGTCCGATTTTGTGGCAGGTTGAAATGTCTCTCCCATCTTTGGCCTATGATTTGGGTTATCGGATATGATCTCATCCGTAGATTGTAGCCTAACTTTGTGGTATATTCCCAGGATATTCTTGTGTTTTTCTAGATTACAAGTGGACCCGCCGCAGCTACGCTGCGGCATAGGAAGAGGCCGAAGGAAAAGAGGGGGAGAAGATGGTGAAAGAGAAGTGTTGCAGAGAAAGGAAGATTGCTGTGGCATGCACTCAATATGATAGGTATTTCGGGAAATACAGATGCCGTCCCTCGAAACATCCGTAAAAAATGGAACGTTATAGAGAAGGGAAAATAAGCAAATGGCTGATGCGACAGGATGAGATGAAAAAAGAGAAAGGGAAAAAAAAAAAAGTCAACATCTGAGTAATTGGGATCTTAGATATGTGTGCCACGTGCGAGGCTAAAGGCCTCGGTAAACCCTACTGGGCCCTGTATCAGCAAGAACGGCCGCCATAAGTGAAGGCGGGCCTGACAAGTGACGAGAAAGTTTTGACGCAGCTGGGGAAGTTCAGGCAGTTGCGTAGCGTCAGTTGGTTGAGTGAGCCCAGGCCCTGCCTGCCTTTTTCCAAATGTATCCGAGGCAGACCCTCGGGCCAGACACGGGGCATGAACCGAACACGGGGCGCTGGCAGCTGGACACGAGTAACCACCCCAGGCGGAAGATTCGCTGGGACAGGGGCTCAGCCACATGGGGCCTACCGGAAGGTTCCATGGGGAGGCCCAGGCCAGCCAGGCAGCCCATGACTGGCAGCCACTTTCCATAAAGGAAAGGGCCTGGCCGCTGGCCAGACATTCGGGCACTCGCTGCTTATGCGCCAGCGCTGCTGCGCCATCTGCTGAAGCGAGTGCCTACGCGCTCACGGGCGAGCAGGGAAGAAGCAGGCAGCCTGTGGCATACTCAGTTCCACACGGGCCCAGCAGGGCCCAACCAGGTAGGCTAGGGGTCCATAGAGTGTAGGGTCTGTGTCGTTTCGACCCACAGTAGCGGTCCGCAGGGTCGGTAGGCCAGTTTTTAGGCCTGAGTAGGACCGGTACCAGTAAAAGGCCCTGTAGGCTTCGTTTCGGCTACAGGCCCTGGCGTGCGTTTTGGCGCCAGACCCTGATTTTGAGACCGCGCCGTTTCAGTAGGCGCTTGAGGCCCAGCCTCAGTTTGGGCGCCAAACGTTCGAGTCCCAGCCTCAGTTTGGGCGCCAGGACTCAGCAGTTGAGGCCGACCCAGCGCTATATATAGCTGGGTCCGGCTTCAGTCAGGGCATTCAGTAGAGGATCGAGTGGAGGCATACTTCGGGCGACAGCAGTACGGTAGTCGTCGACGATAGGACTAGTCTTCCAACGCTGGGCGATGATAGAGTAGAGAAGCGCAGGGAGGGAAAGATGGTGATGGAGGTCAGGGGACTTACCTGAGACTTACCTGCGTGGCCATTGCTCCAGCTTCGTCTTCAGCACGTCCGTACCTGCATCAAGGTGCCACCTTTAGCAGGTCAGTACCGGTTACGAGAGAGAGAGAGAGAGAGAGAGAGAGAGAGAGAGAGAGAGAGA